ATTAATAGGGATGGTGACACTCTGTATTCTTATCAGTCACCACACGGACCTTATATACAACTTTAAAACAAAATTATTTCAATAATATTTTTGTGTTGAGGCACAAATTACATTTCGTGAAATGTAAATAATATTACGAGAAAGTATCGTACACGTGCTTCCAATTATTTATAATTGGCATTTCGTCGTCAAAAGTAGTAAACATAAAACACTTTGACGAAATCGCAATTTCACATTTACAAGATATTTTAGCTTTCTCCATATTTCTTTGAGTATTTACGTTTTTGCGTTTTTGAACGTTATTTTTTTACATTAATAATAATAACTTAACACATCTTACACACGCTACACGGCTGTTTCATGGCTTTTTCTATAGTAACTAGACTGATGAACTAGGAAAAGCGTGTTCTATTGTAATCAAACTGCTGATAAATATACCTATAAGTAATGATTAATAAATATTCCTATAATAGATAAACTACACCCAGACTGAGACCAAATGATTGTTGTGTGCTCCTCACACGATTGTTTGTCCTGAGTGGGAATTAAAGCCATCACCACCGGAGCATTAAGGATCACGAAAGACCAACAGGCCACGTCTAGCAAAACCATTATTTCCTAAATTCTCAAAATTTAGTTCTTTGAGTTTTATATTTCAACTTGTTACTTGGTTGAATGTAGTCAAATTAATAGCCTTCACCTCTGACCTTCGTATGAGAACCCTAATTTATGACATCGCAGCCAGCTTATTTTTAGATTTGTATATATTTTTTGTTAACTGTTAAATACATGTTTGACATCATAACCACAAATATTCATTAGAATTTACTTACACTGTGGTTTTATATTGATAAGGTAATAAAATTAGTAGGTTGACGATGACTGTGGTTTTGATAAAAAAAAACCTGTACTTATTAACAAAATCATTACTTGGACACATGAAACTACGCAGGACAAGAGCACTGGAAAAAGAAGGAAAATTTGAAACAAACCGTCTGGCCAGCGTGGTATAGTAGGCCAAACCTTCGTGTCTAAGGAGAGGCCTATGTCCAGCAGTGTACTAATAAAGGACAAATGATGATGAATTGATAATTGCGTAAAACCTAGCTAGTCAAGGTACTAGCGAAATGTAATAAACAGCAATGGCCAGTATCCAGACCGAGTATTTTTTTTCGTCGCAAAACCAGAAGAGCACCTAACCTAAATGGCATCAAAAACTGAAAATCGAATTTTGGGATTGATACTCGTATCCATACTATTTTCTGTTAATCAGGAAACACGTGAATTATTATTTTATTACATATGGAGCAAACGAGCATACCGGTCACGGTGAGTTACCGCCGCACATTTAAACCTGGCAACTCAATAATCCAAAGTGAATTGCTGGGTTGAGTGCAAAGATAATTAAGAAGGGAATCAGGGTTGAGCTCCAGGAAATCTCACTTATTCTGTGAAATGTAAAGAAGACTTAACGCCGGTTTCCCGCGAGGCCGTGGTATAACTTCGCTCCAGCCATACGTGCAGAAGAATACTTCGAACGAACCTTGTCGGTAGAATATATCTCAAAAGAAGCAACATCGTCATCACCATCTCAGCAGGAAGACACTCTCAGTCCACTGATGGACATGGGCATCCCCCAAGGCTCGTCACAACAACCGGTCCTGTACTGCTCGCATCCAACGGCTTCCCGCAATCTTCACCAGGTCGTTGGACCGCCTTGTGAGGGTCCTACCTACATACACTTTACAATATCCGTAAGCGACTCACAGTCAGACCTGAATCATTTTTGCAGCAACAGATATTAACTCATATTTGGCTATCAAATTATATTTTTATAACCAGATAACGTAGTGGGTTCTGGTAATTGTTGTTAAGCAAATAAACTCTTTAAATAATACGTAAGTATTCACTGCAGTATAATAATATGTAGGATACAGATACTGTAAGCAAACATTACATATCACTGTAGTATTCCGTTTTTGATCTGTAGTGACCAGTTCATTTGTCTTGTCTCAAAATGATTAATGCCCGGGCAGGCAGGTAGCCAGTCATGAGACACTAGCTGAGGCCCTTTACAATGTTACACACTTCTCCAACGTCAAATAAAAATTAAATAAGAATGACTCCTTTCAATGTAAAAAAAGAGCCAAGTTACCACTACATCATTATGGCTGGATACTTTTTTTGTTTTTAGGGGGGTTTAAAATCCTTTCTGTTCTCCGACTTCTTGGGGATGCCATCGCAGTTGTGGTAGCGGTATGGCGTTTTTACTAAAAACCATCTCAAAGGCCGGCCTCAGACGCCCAGATCTAGGACACGGCTGAGGACCGTGTGACCATTTCAAGGTTCTCCATAAATCGACGCATCGCCTATCCACCTATCCAAGTTCTATCCTGGGGGGAAGCCAGCTAACTTCCCCTGTCAGCCAGTCCAATCACTATATTTAGATACCATCTATAATATATATCTTGTGTCTTAAAAAATAAAACCATTATTAAAAAACTAACTTTTGAACTTTTACATTCCTTAATTAATTATTTCTTCTAGAATAACAAGGTTCACAGGTAAAACATACTTTTGAATTGCGTGACGTCTTGATCAGGCGGGTAATTCTTCACTCTTTTTACTTCGGCGTCATTACCCGCAAAATAATAACCTTTGAAAATAAACTATATATATTTAAATTCTTGGTATTATGTCACAAGCTTGATTTAAATAATTGAGCATTTTAGAACAATTACCAACTGTGAATTTAATTTCTGCAGGGGGTGAATGATGCAGAAAACTAAAGAATTAAAAAGAACAATTATCTTACTTATTACTATAGTCATAGGCGGACTGCTGTAATACTAATATCGCGTTAATTCCAGTAATAGTTATGTACATATAAAAATCTATATCATGAGCAATTTAACTTAGAGGAGGAAAAATATATTTATTTACCATTTGTGTAAATGGGATTACCCCAAAACTGAGTCACATACACACCCATTGATATGTATATATATAGTGTATGTTAGAGGGGGCAGACAAGCAGACACGACACGGTTATATGTCCCTATATAGAAATCGTGTCACTGATATGCATGAATATTGGGTTCCCTTTCTGTTTCTGAGTAGATTAGCAAACAATTATACACAATAGCGTATAGTAGTAAGTGTCAGTTTAAGTACTATTGCAAAGTAAACTTTGCTAAAAAAGGAATAAGACACCATAAGTTTATGCAATATGTAAAGAATTCTTTATGTACATGTATTAATGTATATGATACTTATATGATAGTTTTCATATAAAGGTTGTGGTTTATGTGTTACCAATTTAAAAATTATGGGAAAACCGCTATTGCAAGCTACATGTGTGCAGTATAAATGTTAATTGGTCATGGTGGGTTATGGAACTATCATATCATATATTTTCACTCGAAATTACCTCTTAAAATGGGGTTGGTTGGTCATACAATTTTCTTATTAATAGAGCAAACATATAACACTCACGGAATGAATAAGTGTGGTAACACTCCGTATTTAAGAGTACAATAAAGAAAACTATTCCCCTTTTTTTCATTTTGTAAAATGTGCTCACCTACATAAGTGCCATAGTGGGCAAATCTTTCATATTCTTTAAAATTATTAGTTTAGAAAAGAATAAATATATTAAAACTAAATTCAATTTTCTTGTATGCAACAATGATTTTTATGGAAGATTTGTTTTATTCATACTGCACGCACAAAATATTTGTTCCATAACAATACACATACATCTATTAATGCATTTTAGAACAAAACATGCAGCGTACAAGTGCAATAAGAAATAGGAATAGCATAAGAGTGAAAGAGACTGCTATTTGTAATCAGTATAGCGACAGAAGACATTTTATTATTTTTTTCAAATTAATTAAGTAGGTATTACTTTTTGTGGTCCTAATTAGGACACTTACGCATAGTGCGTTGGTGGCGTATCTACCTCTTGTATGTTTATAATATTGTTGGTATGTGATAATTTTGCTTATCTGGTTAATTTTCTAACACTTATATTTTTGGTGCTTTTAATACTATTCTAAAGGCTTTAGATATTTTCTTTTAAAAAATATAATTAAAGCAAAAGACGCTATCAAAAATCTGACTTATTTTGAAGTTAGTTAATACTGAAATGGATTTTATAGAATAACATTTAGAGTGATTTTTTAGGTTTCTATAACCACGGAGTGTGTTATTTTAATAAAATAAAAACAATAATGTGGGATAACTCACATTGCCATCTGATTTGAAAGCATTCGGAGCCTGTACTATGATGGGCAGCCTACTGAGATAAATTACATAGATATATACTAAATGAATGCACTCAATATAAAATCATTAGTTTTGAAAAACTATATCAACATATCACCATAGTGAATGTGGAAAACCTTCTTGTGTCAAGCTTAAATCATCACATTTTGAATTAGGGTATGAAGTTAGAACTATTTTAATATTATCATCATCAACAGCGTTTAATAGTCCACTACTGGAGATAGGCCTCTCCTTAGAAAGGAGGTTTTGGCCTACTATACCACACTGGCCAGACAGGTTGGTATAGGGTTTGTAGTTTTTATTCTCTTTGCAGTACTGGTGTCCTGCGTAGTTTGCTCCCTGGCTCTTACGACACCCACGGCATGAATAGGGGTGGTGACACTCTGTATTCTAAATTCGTCACCACACGGAATATTAATATAAAAAGAAAAAAAAAACAAGAAATCATATTTACACCTTAAAAAACGTTGTTTACAGATTAAACAGAATTGAGGAATGAACATGAAAATAAACATTTATTCTGCTGAATCACGCAATATTTTTGTATTAAAACATGCCGTCTTATGTGATTTGTGCATCAACAATTAAAAACAGTAGATGCACTTGTTGTGTAAACAAGGGGGACCAAAAAACATCCTGCAAATAGAATCCTACACAGAACAATATCCGGTCTAAAACTAGATGTAATTTTCATCTATATTAGTACTCACGTTGATTTATCTTAAGCACCATCGCCCGGTAGAACCTGGAAAATGGTGCCATCATGTTCCGCGAGTGGAAAAAACGTAAAAAATTCTCCCTGAGATCCATTTGTGCGAGTCTTCCATCCACTTCCTATATAAAATGCCCGATCAACAATATTTTAACACTATTATAACACTAAATTTGACACTCATTATCACCGCGCAATACCGCGTAAGAAATAAGAATTTTATTCTTTAGTCTCGAAAAACTACTTCGTTCAACGGCGTTTAAACATAAACATTTTAGTAATATGAACAAGACCGAAGCGAACTCCGATATCACTATTTACATTTTTTAATTCACGTTAAACTTAAATAAAGTGTTTGAAATCCATGTTGACATCCTAAACAGCCGCTAGAGTCGAGTTTCAGGGTACGTACTACTATTAACAACAATCGATCTCGTCACCGCCCGTGAATAGTGTTGCGCACTCATGTTGGATGAAAATGTGTCGACAAAGTATTTTGTACGTGTATTATTATTTCTGTTAGTTTTCAGTTTACTAATGTCGTGTCAGTGTGGAGTAAGTAATTATAATATTATAATGATTAGACTGTACTACAGGATATCTTTATATGCAATGCACGTTTCGTGTTTGCCAGGGGCTGCTATTCGGGATGGACGTACGTCTCGAGACGGGTAGGAGCTCTGTCCCCGCATTTTTAATCTCCGATTTCTTCTAGGATATTAATTTTAATGATATACTGTGCAGGTCAATATTGCAATAATGCATAATGCCTCTAATGTATTTAATTTGATAAAGAATAATACTGTATTGTTTGAAATAGCTTCATAAATAACCCATTTTTTTATATGAAAAATATAAAAATGGTTACTGTGGATTTTCCTTAGGAGATAGACATAATACCATCGTGGACCTTTTTAAGATATATATGCTGCTTCGGAAAGTATCTGCACTCAGTCGCTTGGAGGGAATTGAGTCCCACCTGTCACCACTGTGATTGCAATGAGGACTCGGCTCAGCAATTTGCAAGGCTTGGGCGCCGCAGCGCCGGGTCCTTATTGCAGCCGACTAAGGGAACAAAGTCATCAGGGGGGATGAAACTTAATACAGAACTACTAATTTACGAATAGGAATATCATAATAGTAAGGATTTGGTATAGTTTTGAAACCTAACAACATTACAAATATAATCGTGGACACTTCTTATAGTTTAGACACATAAAGCATTGATTATACCGATATTTGTTGGTGTTGTTTGGTAATATTTGTTTATGAATTATAAACTGGATCTTTAGTAGAAGACAGAATACGAGAATATAAATATTTAGTGAATTGAAGAAATTCGTGAATTAATTATTGAACAATAATAAAAGCCTGACATAAAACCTGTAAAAGCTTCACCTGTTGCTATGTAGAAATAAAATGTCATGGCATTGGTCGACTGTATACATCACTATTATAGTGACAGGCACACTGCCATCTAGGAGCTGCCATCTAAAATTACTAGATGCAAATTTTTATGACAGTTGCCTTAAAACTTCATTGCCATTTTTAAAATAATATTATTTTTACTGATTTCTTTCTACTTTCATGCTCATTAACTTAACTTATACCTCATTAAAAAAGCGCCAAAGAGGCCATTTTGACCGTGACTTCCATTATTGCTCACACTGTCTACGCCAATATTTATTATTTTAACAACTATATACTTATTAATATAAAATACTCGTACTTTCATTTCCAATAAAATTAATGAATGCCATTGATGAAATCGCCGATTGCTTATAATTTAATTTATTTACTTTTTACGTAGGTATTACATAATACTGTTTTTATATTTTTATTTTAGGGCTTTCCATAATGGACATAGTGTCTCGTTATTGTGAAATTATGTTTAATAGGCCAAATAACATCTAATTATTTATATCAATAAATTGGTACGTGCCTGCCTAAGTAACCACGTAACCAGAAAGAAAGACAGAAGCTCGTCTTTAGATAGGTAGTATAAAATAGAGTTGTTTTTTTGTGTTGTACGCTTAGATCTTTTAAACTAAGCAACGGATTTTAATGCGGTTTTCACCAATAGAGAGAGAGAGCGAGATTCAAAAGGAAGGTTTATATGTATAACACATCGCACCTCCGATAAAATAGTGTAATAACTCAAAAAATTAAAATGTTCAGGATAAACAAAAATGTTCAACTTATATTTTTGGAACGAGAATTTCATACATTTTTTCCAAATATTACATACATATTATATATCAATATAAAGCTTATAAAAAGTGCTATTTATCTGTTTAATTAGTTATTTTAAATTACAGTTTTTTTAAACAATTTTTTTTGGTTATAACTCTATTTTATCAAAGATTATTAAATTATTACAAATAAAATTCTGTATTTATGTTGTAACATTCTTTATTTCTACCAAATTAAACATCAAATATAATAATTCGTAACAAAATTAAAAGTCTTACTAAATTATATATCAAAAAAAAAAAACCCGAGATCTTATTCCTGTTATCACTTGTAATATTATTAAAATACTTGTACGATATTAATTGTAGTGCAAAACAATCAATACTTATTATAAAAGTAAGTAAATCAGTGTCTCTGAACTAAAATAAAAAGCTTGTTGAACTTGAAGCAAACAAAATCTTAATCTAATCGTAATCTTAATCATCTCTTAATCACTTATCAGTCTTATCATACGTACTCGTGAGAAACAGTTTAATCAATCAATCAATCTACCTATAAACTAAATAAAAAAAGTAGTAAATACTATAGTAAAATGTTAAGGTTTCATCAGATTTCTTCTAACTTTCTAGTCTTAGGATATTTAACAAAAATGTTGGTATAATGGCGAATAAAAGTGGAGATTATGATTATTGGCTACCAAACTTAACAAATCGTTTCTTTTTCTTTCACTTATTTGCAGAGGTCCGTCATAAGCTGACTTTAACTCTGATAATGACTGGGGAGATTTGCGCCAAAGCTTGGTCTCCAAAAAAGTTTCGTCAACATAAGATTTTTGTAATATAGTACATCCGGGGTGTGTTTGGAAAATTTCAAAATTTTCTCTTCGTTAATATTCATACTGCCAGTAGTCATTCGAATGTCACTGATTAAATTTTTCAAAGATATAAAATCTTGATATGAAAGTTCATTGACGTTGTATCTCTCGCCAGTTTTATTTGCAGATCTTAAGATTTGTGCATAATTGAGACGGTACGTAGATGGGGCCCGATTTCAAGCTTCGTTTAATGCTCTTCTATAACAGAGTGGACGGAGTCCCCCTTCGTTTTGTGTATGTCCAGAAATCAAATATTTATGAGTTATAGAGTGACGATTTGATAATTTTAAGACACAGTAAACATAAAGAGCAATAATAAATTTATTTTTATTTTGTCCAGCACAATTATCCGAATAAAATGTAATATTAAAAGCATCATAGGCGTTAGCTGGACTAATAACTTTCTCAATGTACTTATTTGAGTAAACAACTACCTATTTCATCAGAATCCCGATTACCTTCACCTTCGTGCCAAAAGTAGCATTCAGTTTTTTCGGTAAGTGTAAAGTTTAGACAATTCAATTTACTTTTGTAATAAAATACAGATACGTCTCCCTTTGGTACTGGTAACACTGCTTGTAAATCATACACTGCTACTATATTATTTTATCACTACTATTTTTCTTTATTACCCTATCATTAATATCTAAAGTGTTCATGAAATATGTTTTACAAACTCTTATTTTCTGTCCCATAATATTGAAATAAAATGCATTATTTGGCAGTCTCCCTTTTTTATTTTCTGATTATACATATCATACATTGATTGATAAATTGTCTCTGACGAGTTATGTCTTTAAGCCCCCAATAAAATTCAAATATTTGTTTTCGCTCTTCATCAGTAATCTTGTTGTTACATTTTAACCTACAATTATCTCCGCATGGGGGTTTAATATACTTATCCCTCACATGTACATTTTTAACATAATGTAAGCGGCAACAGAATTCCTAAGAATTTTAGATTTATTTTGTTTCCATTCTGCTGGTTTAGCCTGTCGTTTTCTAGATGATAATCTGGATGTACTTGCAATTGATACCGTAAGGTTTGATGATGTCGACGAGGATGTTCGATGAGGAAGAAGAATCAGATGACGAGGAAGAACTGTAGTTCGAATATGAGCTACCAGTTTTATTGTTTTCGCTTTATACTATCACATCACTTAATTCAGAAGCGTTTCGATTATCTCATCCTTCACACTGCTCATTAATGGAGATTTGCATATTATTTGAAGATCGTAAATTTTGGACACGGATCTTCTGTAAATAAAAATAAAATTAAGGATATAATTAAGTAGGTACTTATATTTGTTTTGAGAATCAAAAAAAAATTTCGAACTCATGACTTACCAGTAATAGTGCATCTATTAGATGTTATGTTAATAATATCGTTCTTTAAGGCTAGCCGCAGCATAGCGTCACTTCTCTTCATTTCAATTGAGTACCTGCATAAAGTAAAATATTTTTATAATCTAGCTTTGTACATAAATGACAATAAATTAATTCCAAAAACAGCAATTAATGTTGGGTATGAATCACAAATAGTTAAATATTATTACACTATACAGTTATAAGTTAACTTGTAACACCTAAACTTATTTCCGAATCTATAGAAAACAGTAATATCTTAAAGTTTCAACTATGGTTTATGATAAATTTGAGAAAATTCCTATTTTATAATGCTTTAAATAGTAACATTTTAATTTATTACTGTATTAGAATTTTATAATTTAATAGACTAGTTCCGAGCCTCGTAATATTATACAGTAATATTTCACGATATAACGAAATAGAACTGAGTATCCGCGCATTAATTACTTTAAATAAATAATTTACAGTGGCAATTCAACTTATAACTCTCTTTTACTTTGTTGAAAACGTTATACTACTACAATGTTTCTACAACACCGTTATATTTTGAAATAAAACTGTGTTTAAGATAATTTAGATAACATTATTACTAAAAATAATATCATATACAGTAACATT